CTGGCCCCTCCACCCGTTTCCCAACTGGATAGGATTGCCCATAACATCCCTTTTAGATCTACATTCATTGACCGAATGATTTCCTCTTTTACATCTAGGACATAAACCAGGTTCTTTAGGAGGTTTTGAAAAAGGTCTATTTTCTTTATCTTGTGGGCAGTCTCGTATTAAATGTCCTGCCTGACCACAGCCAAAGCAATTTCCATTATTCCCCTTTTTTGGAGGGCCACTTCTATGTTGTTGAAATAAGACCCCCTTTTATAGTTTTTCCTTGAAAAGCTGCAGCCATGGCAAGGCCCTGAGTGTAAGAAGGACCTATATCAGAACACAAGCGAACATAATCTGATAAATCAGCTTTCTTTCTAAAAGGACGAAGGGCAGCTTGGCAAGCAGAATTAGCATTTTCATAGGCCAATTGTTTAACTAAGATAATTACTGCTTCTGATTCTCCAATTATTCTACTAGCTGTTTGCAACAAACGATCTAAAAAATTTTGTCTGATTTTAGAAAGATCCTCTGTAGCCCGTCCAGAGGAAGATAATTTTCTCCAAGACGCTTTGGCAGCTGCATTAATTTGAGTATATACTCCTGGGGGAAAACCCAATTGCTGAGTAACATCAACGTAAGGTCCCTCTCCTGCTAGCATCTCATAAGTTGCATTAAGTTCTCCTTGCTGTCTATTCAGGTCTGCTATTCTCTGGCATTGTTCTGCATATTGAGACTTCCACAACAAATAATCTCCTCCAGCTAGGCAAGCCTTAGCAATCCATTTCCAATCGAAAGGCAGCAAGGCATCAGTTGCAAGAGAATCTAGCATGGCTAACGTAAAAGGGGCAGTCGGCCCATACTGGGTACAAGGCATTTTTAATTCTTTTAATTGTTTAAAAGGGATGGGGTCGTGTTGTCGAACAACGTTTCCCTGAGCATCCTGAGCCTCAAAAACTGGGCAGGCCAGAGAAAATGCAGATACATCCTCACCTTCTTTAAAGGCTTGTTGTAAACCCTGCTGAACTGGAGATTTAAGGAGTTGGGAGTTTACTCTCATAGGCTTCCAGCCTTCAGGAGGTCCTGAAGCCTAAGCAATCAAAGAAGGCTCCTCTTCTAACCAATTGTCACAAGGAGAAGGATCAAGATCTGCTATTGTAATAGGCTTGTTTTTAGGGGGGTTATTACTAATCCATTGGGCTTTCATTTGTTGAGACAGATTTTCTCTCATATTTTCTAATTTTTCCATCCTATCTTCCAACTGAAGTTTTTGTGAAACCTCAGTATGGGCTGCTGTCACTAAAGGGGGCCATACATTTTCATAATATTTAGCAGTTTCTACCTCAAGACCTAGAGGTTCCGGCGGAGCCGTCAGAACGATACTTTCAGTTTCAATTTTACAATTATCATACTCAGGTTCCTCTACACTCAATAAATTTTTAAACATATGTTCAAAAGGCAAGCGACTATTGCTAGCTCCCATTTTAAATATTTATAAGAAAACTCACCGCTCCTCTTTTGCCTTCCTTTTGAAGGTCCTCTTTTTTTCTTTTCATCGAGATCTCCTTTTATTCTTTATCCAGGGGTGTCCTTCACTGGATCCCTCGATACTCAGGTCCCTGTTCGGGCGCCACTGTCCGGCCTTCACAACACGAACATGCCTGAGTCGGGGAGTGAGGATTGAGAAAGGAAAGAACACTCAAGCCTGAGTGGAGACGAAGAGAAGTCTGATTTATTTCACAGAAACAGCTCCTTTTATAGGTTCACATCAACACAAAGCACCAAGCAACTATTTGTATCTTTTATGCAAAGACCGGATTTTCTGACTCTTTGCAAAGAACATCAGATCTTTGGCTGTCTCTTTGAGTTTCTCCCATTGCAGCAACGAGTTTAACAAGCAGAGTCCCAGAATGTTACAGATTGTATCAATGCCTTGAGTGTAGAGGTGAAGAAGTTTCCTTTTAAATGTCAAACTCCTGGAGGGCCATGGCCGGGCTCCCACAATCTGGTATCACAATCCATGATCCTAACCCTGACTTCCCAAAAGGCCCCCCTATGAGGACATGAGGCTTTGGGGAGACATCCAGTTAAAGCCATAACAGGTTGTTTGACTGATTTCATGACATGACATCTGGCTTCCCTCAAAAGAGCAATCCAAATACAAGCAAGATGGAAGCCACAGTGTCTTTTACGGCCTGGCATTGGCAATCACATTAGTCACTTCCTCCCCCACTGTAAATCCTGAAAATGGTTGAGTAGAGCCCACCATCAATGGGAGGAGACAAAGACATTGTGTATCTTTTTTATTTCTTAAAAATATCTAGATCTTATTGGGACTTTTTAAAAAAAAATATCCACAGCTTATTTGGATGGTTTCTCAGTCATCTCAATTCAGGGTGCGTTTAGTAAGTACTTCCTCCCGAAGGGTCCTCCATGTGGAAGCCTGGCTTCCCTTCAGTAGGGTGGAGGGACAGTGGACCACCCAATGCACGAAACTACTGTCTGGGCATAGCTAAAGACTGGTGATTTCAGCTGGGGATTTAGCTCAATAGTTCAGCTGACTGCCTCGCAAGCACAAGGACTAGAGCTTGACCCCCGCTGTGATTTTATAGTACCCTGGGCATTTCACACCCATGGAGTAGGAATGAATAGGGGATTGCAACAGATGCATTTTCCTCTCCTCCTTTCCCTCTCCCTTCTCTTCCTTCTCCCCTCCCCTCTCCTCCTCCTTTTCCTTCCTCAGTGTGCTGGGTATCCCCCAAGGGCCTCATGCATGCTAGGCAAGTGCTTCCCCCACCCATTTCTTTTCTGGAGAGAGCTGTAGATGGAGAGCTGCTCAGTGTCAGTCTTCCAGATCCTGCTCACCTGTGTTTGCACTGAATTAAGATCCTAACATTTAAAGCTAATGCATTGCTAACTTTAGAGTCCCTGCCCTCCTTCGGAGGTTCTCAGCCTAAGTCAGGTATGTTTCCTGTCTGGGTCTGCCTTGCTTTCAGTCTTGCAGCTGTGGATTGAGTGCCATAAACAGGTACCTATCTCCCTCCAGCAAGCATAAGAAAGGAACTGGGGTTTGTTATTTGTTTCAGGAAAGATGACAGAAAAGAAGGTGCATGCTAGAAGTCTTCAGGCTGATTATTGCATTGAATACTCCGTGTGTGTGTGTGCGCGCGCGCGAGAGAGAGAGAGAGAGAGAGAGAGAGAGAGAGAGAGAGAGAGAGAGAGAGAGAGAGAGACAGATGTTGAGAGGTCTTCATTAGATTCTCAGTTCTTAAACCAGAAATAGGTAAGAACTATCCAAAAGAAGGAATCTAATGGATTCTGACTGTCCTCAGTACCAACCTACCCTGCCACCTGCTCTAAGCCTCCACCCCTTGGCCAGTCCTGAAAAGACATTGAGGAACCGGACTACACAGTTGAAACTTTAGGCAGGCTCCTGTTCTTCTGTTACTTAGCACATCTTTTGTTTTTTTCCCAGTCACCTCACAACACAGTTCATCAGGTTGAAATGTTGTTTATCATTCAGGTTCTGAGACTACTACCTCTGCTCACACTAAATGAGTCTAGAAATGTCCTAAGACACTACACTAGCACACTTACCGAGTTTCTCTATAGTATGTTTTGTGCCTTCTGTCCTTTTTATTTTGTTTCTTCCTTTGTTTGGTTTTGGTTTTGATTCTTCTCATGGTGCTAGGATGAAATGCAAGGCCTCAGACCTGCTAGGCATGGGCTCTGCCATGCAGCCACACCCCAGCTGTCGCTCTCTGTCCTTGTACAAATGGACTGTGGCTTTTAATTAGGAGTCTGGCCGGTTCTCAATCACATGTTGTTCATGGACTGGCTCATGTTGATTTTCTCCTTCCGTTTTTAATTCCAAGGGGGCTTCAGAGCTTGGGGTGCAACACATTTGGAACTTGCAGCCTCTTATGTTCTGTTTTCCCCACCTTTCTATCTCGGTTCAGAGGCCAAGGGTGCCCTAGGTCAGAGGTTCTCAAATTGGCTCCCAAATCAGAATTGGCTGGAAGATTTGTAATCTGGAGAAAGAGGAATCCGGTCTCTTGCACATGTAACAAGGCCCAGAGTGTTGCTTCTGCTGCTTCACTTCCTGCTCTGGGAGCCAGAAGGTCTGAGGAGAAGATGGACCAGCTAAATTCTGGAGACTGCGCTCCCTGCCCTGTCGCCTGTTCCCAGCCACACCCACAGGCCTAGGTGTGTTCAGCTGGTGTCCCATACAGCAGGGAAAACAACTTGTATTCTGATGTCCAACCCTATAGATATATAAGCTTATTGTGTTATGATGGCAAGGATGTTTATTTGGAATTGCTCTCAGTATTTCAAATGATAAGAATAAAAATAATTTAAATTATTTAAAAGTATGTATGATAACTTATTAAATAAGTACAAAAGAAAAAGAAGGAAGAGAGTTAGAGAGAGAAAGGAAGAAAGAAAGAAAAAGGAAGGAAGGAAGAAAGAAAGAAAGAAAAAGAAGCCAGGCATGGTGGTGCACACCTGTAATCCCGGCACTCAAGAGGCTGAGGCAAGAGGATCGTTGTGAGTTTGAGACCAGCCTGAGCTACATAGTGACTTCCAGGTCAGTCTCAACTACATACAGAGACCCTGTCTCAAAAAAACAAAAACAAAAAAAAGAAAGAAAGAAAAAGTCAGTTCACAGATCCTGGGAGAGGAAGAGGTACCTCTATTGCTGGGGCTGGAAGAAAGACTGAAGAATGAGCAACAGACAACAGGGAGGGGACCTGGCCCGGTTACCATTTCTTGAGTTCAGCAAAAGGACTGCAGCAGAGGGTGCCGCCCCCTTCTGTCCCCAGACCCTCCAGGGAGAACTTTGTGCAGGTGTGGGGGCGAGCTCAAGGTGCCCAGGGCACTTCCGACCACTCCTCCAGTTTCCTGAACGAGGAACTTCTGTCAATCATCTTCTGGCCCCGCCCCCCAGGAGAGGAACAGTGACTCACCCTGCGGGTGTGCACGGAAGAGACTGCAGCTCTGTCCTCACTCCTCACCCATCTCTGGAAGGGCTGAGCTCCCTGTCCCTGCAGTGCGAGGGCTGGATCCACACCTGCGCCATGAGTGCAGCAGCGGGTGAGGCGAGGGCAGCTTCAGCAAGCCCATTTTGTCTCCCAAGTAAGCCAGGTCCTCCACGGAGCCAGTAGCAGGAATGAACCTGAGGGCCCGGGATGTAGCTTCTTCATCATAAAGCTCTTACCTAGCAAGCACCAGGCTCTGGATTCCATCCCCAGCACTGGGGAAAAAAATTAATAAATGTTTCCTTCAGTTTATTTTCTATATTCCTTTTTAAAAAAGAAAAGAAAGAAAGAACTCGTGTTGGGGATTTTAGTTTCCTCCAAAGCACAAAGTCCAGAGTTCGATCCCCGGTACCAAAAAAAAAAAAAAAAAAAAAAAAAAAGAACTCAAATTTGATACTAATGGTTTAAACACTGCACACCAAAGCAAAATCTCACTCATTTTAAACCGGGTATAGTGGCGCACGCCTGTAATCCCAGCACTCAGGAGGCTGAGGCAGGAGGATCGTTGTGAGTTCAAGACCAGCCTGGGCTACACAGTGAGTTCCAGGTCACTCTCACTACATAGTGAGACCCTGTCTCAAAAAAATAAAACTCACTCATCCTGCAAATTTGTCTGTTTTCTTTACTTCTGTTGGCCAGATGATCCTCTATAATTTCTGCAAACAGATACCTCTTCAACAGATTATATGCAAGAGATAAAAGATAGCCAGAAACTTTATAAAAATAATGTGAACTGTAGCAAAATAGGTCCATTTCCAACTCAAGCCCCATGCCATAATCACATTTGTCACTAGCAAATTGCACAAAAGTCATCATTTCCTGAATGGAAGCAAAGGCTTTTAGTTTTTCATCATTACTTATAGCCTCAACAATTATTTTGCAGGGCCAGGGATTTAGATCAGTGATGCCACTCGCTGCCTGCCTCGCAAGTACAAGGACTTGAGTTCAATCACTGGTACCAAAAAAAAATTTTTTTTATTTTGCAAATTTTCTTGAGGTCCGGAACAACAACAAGCCATACCATGAAAGATCTTTGGCACAACTTTCTTGCCTCTGTTTCTTCTTGTTCTTGTTTCTTCTCTGTTCCAATGTGTACCCCAATTTGCTGGCTGCTTCTGTGAGTTTTTCATCCATGCTTTTCAAGAAACTTTCTTTTTATCTGTTATTTATTTAAGCCTTTTCAAAAGACAATTGGTGTGGGGCTGGAGATTTAGCTCAGTGGTTTCACTGCCTGCCTTGCAAACACAAGGACCTGAGTTCAATCCCCAGGACACACACACACACACACACACACACACACACACACACACACATTTGAAGTGAAGAAGAGTAAATCCTGTGAAGTGATGTCTCCAGTGACCTTCGAAAAGAAATAAAATCATTATGGCTTTCACTACCTGAAGATTTCTGTTACTTATGAAAGTTCTGTGAAGAACTTGATCCTGAAAAGCCAGCTGATGCTCTTTCCACAAGCTTGGACTACAGTGAGTGGGTCCTTATGATATCCTTGCTAGAAAACATAAAATGAAGAGAAAAATCAATAGACTTGAACTTTAATCTTCACTGGAGGTTTTACTATGATCCTCTTAAGTTCCAGGCCATTATTGTTGGAGATAATAAAACTCAGCACCACATAGGGTATTTTAGAGATTCTCTTGATGAACTTCCTGTAAATATTGGTACAAATGAAGCAAATGTATAAGAAGAAAAATTGTATAATTGTTCAAGCTGGAGATAATGTGTTTGCTGAAAAAAATATATTTTTAAGGGCCAGGGATTTAGCCCAGTGGTTCTGCCAACTGTCTCGCAGGTGCAAGGTCCCAAGTTTGATCCCCAGTACAAAAAAAAAATTTTTTTTAAGCAGGATGGGGCCAGGCATCATGGTGCAGACTTGAGAGGCTGAGGCAGGAGGATCACAGTGAGTTTGAGGCCAGCCTGGGCTACATAGTGAGTGAGTTTAAGGCCAGCCTGAACTACACAGTGAAACCCTGTCTCAAAAAAGAGGCAGGATGAGGATGCGCCATGTTAGCACCACACAGCTCCAATCTGTGATCCCTAAACTGTCTGAGGACCTCAGTAGGGATGTGCTCAGGGGACTGGAAAAGGAGGTGACCCACAGGCTCTCCCAGGGCCTACCAGGGGAGTCCTTTGGGTGCGGGTGCTGCAGTGGAGGTGGGGTCTGGGGTCCTGGCGAGCATGCTGGGACAGTGATACAGTCAGTCTCAGGTTGTGTGACCCTGATTATTAGCCAGGTGATGTGGGAAACTTCAGAACCTCCCAGGCTACAGCTCTGTGTCCTTGAGCCCACCCACCTTGGCCCCATGCCCCGCCCCCGCTGGGGTATGGTCCTGAAGGGGCAGCCTGGCTGGAGAAGAAAAGCAAGAGCTCAGGAGTGGTCTGGCTGACTCGTACTCCTCACAGCCTGGGCTCCTGCGTGGGGCTCCCGCATCCCAAGCCCGCTCACGTCCAGTATGTCTACTCGTGGCACCGGCCCTAGAGAGGCCGCTTGTCCAAGGCGCTGAGCCGCTAGCAGGGACAACGGGCCAGGACCCTCCCTGGGCACCTGCTCAGGGCCTGGTGGGGTCCAGCAGCAGGGAAAGGCCCTGCGGGACTGGGGAGCCTGAGCTGCCGGGCGGCAGGGCCCCTGTGTGCCCCGCTGATCGCGATGATTTCTGCTGTGGGAAGAGGAGCAATAATAAAGACAGGCCAGGAGCAATAGAGGCTGGCCTGGGGCTCAGCTCATGCGGGGCCGTGGGGCTTGGGGACAGAGTGGTGAGGCTCCCGGAGGTCGGAGGCTGTCCAGAGCTGCCCCGTGGGTGGGCCTATGGGTGGAGGGGCTGCCCAGTCCTTCCGCCTTGCAGTGAGCCCGTTATACTTTGGATCTGAGATGTCCCCTGGAAATCCAGGTGGCTGGGTCCCCAGCATGGTGCCGCTGCAGAGTGGGGGTTGGAAACTCTGAGACGTGGGTCTGCCAGTTACTGAGGACGCGCCCTTGAAGGGACAGTGTGACTTGCCCTTTCTCTTTCTTTCCTTCCTCACCAAGAGCGGAGCAGGAGACCTGGGTCTCATCATCTCCTGGCCCAAAATCAACCGAGCCAACCAAGCATGGCGTGAAAACTCCAAAACTAAGACCCAACTTTTCTCTTCCTATGTTGATCATCCCAGGTGTTTTGTCACAGTAGTGGAAAGCCAAGCCACCCGCTCCCCACTTGCCTGCTGCCCCACAGCTGTGACCTTGGCTGGCTGTTCTTCACCGGTGTGGAGGTTAATTGTAGGTATCAGCTGACTGGGCTCAGGCTCCCAGCAAGCTGGTGCAATGTGTCATCCTGGCTGGGTCCTTTGGTGACAGTGTTTCCAGGCAGATGGTGATGAGTCATAGACCAGGCGGGGCAGCCCCACCCTCAGTGTGCATGGGCACCCTCGGTCGGCTGGGGCCCAAGCAGCACAAAAGACTCGAAGGAAAGGTACAATGGCTCTCTCCATCTCTCTCCTAACTCTGGAATGTCCTTCAGCGCTTGGACATCAGAATTTCAAGTTCTGCAGCTTTAGAGCCCAGTATCCTTACACCAGCAGCCCCCAGCCTTGGACTGAGATTGCACTGCCAGCCTCTCTGGGTTTTCGGTTGGTTGGTTGGGTGGTTGGTTTATCTGTTTGTTTCAGTACTGAGGATCGAATGCAGGTCCTTCATGCTGAGCTGCATCCCTAACCCTGTTTGTTGGTTTGTTGGTTTGTGACAGGGTAATTGCCCAGGCTGGGTACGAATTTACCATTCTCCTGCCTCAGCTTCCCAGGGTGCTGGGATTACAGATGTGCACCAACACGTCCACCTTGGTTCTGGGGCTTTTTTCTTTTTTGTGTGTGTGGGGGGTTCTTTTGAGACAAGGTCTCACTATGTAGTTCAAGCTGTTCAAGCTGGCCTTGCACTCGCTTCATGACCCAGGCTGGCCTCAAACCCCTGGCAGCCTCCTGAGTGCTGGGATTACAAGCATGTGCCACCATGCCCAGCTTTTCTTTATCTTTTTCT